GGCTTCGGGCAGACCCTGCGCCACCGGAGCCCGGAAGGGGAAGTGCCCGGCCGGCGGCTGGGGTCCAGAGGCAAGGGGGCTGCCTGAAGCCCATAGCGCTAGGGCAGCTCGGCTCTTAAACAGAGCCGAAGAGTCAGGGGAGGAGCAGAGCAGCCGCGGGAGGGGAAGTGCCCGGCCGGCATTTTCCCGGACATGTTCAGCTTTTTGGCAATTCCCCCCGGACGGGGGTTTGATTGCCGAAAAGCCGGACATGTCTGGGAAAAAACGGACGTATGGTAACCCTACATTAGGCACACACTTGGTGTGAAAAACTTCAGCCTGAACAATTGAGGTTTGGTAAATTTATAAGCTTTCGAAAATAGGGTCTTATAATAGGAAGTGACTGGCCATGATTACCGGTATATTTGTCTCTACCTCTTACCTATAATGTTTCACTGGCAAAGTGTACGGTGTCCCCATTAATTGCAGTTGTCAAAAATTCAACACTCAGACATCAGGCTCTTTTAATTAAAACCTTGTTAAGGCTGCTCAATTATGTGTACTACAAATGCACCCTTAATGAAGCCAGAAAATATCTGTTCTCTGTAATCCCTGAATCAAATTTTCAACCAGCAGTCATTAATTTATCTTCATTATACAAACATGCACCACCCACAATATACATGCTTTCTCCTTCCACAAAAAATAAAAACAAAAGCTGTAACTTTGTCCTTGGGGAGAGGCATACTTTTCAAACAAGGTAGATTGATTAAGCAAGCACTAAACCTTGATTTAAATAATTGATTTTAATCATATTTTGTATTTTACTCTTTAGTTATCTTTGAGACGTTCATTCTTGTTGGTTGTTATAACCATTAAAACGTTGATTTGCAACTAAATGTAATTTTATTAAATTTGATTCCTCTTTTTGCTAACCAGAGGATACTGTATCTCTGCATCTAAACGTTAATATAACTCAACATTCATGTAGTCAGATTACTATTTTTTGTTTTTTATGATGTTAGAAAATGATGAATTATTATTATTTATTTTATTACATGGGTTTTTTACTTGTGAATTGTCAAGCTGCAATTGGATGGAAATTGGAATTCAATTAAACGCACAAAAATGGCTTTGTAAAAAAAAAAAAATTTAGTCATATAAAACTGCCTTATCTGCTGTATACATAAGGAAAAAAGTTTATCAGCATGTTTTGCATTTGAAATTAATGTATTCAACCAATGTACATAATGTCTTGACTTCTTACTCAAATTATATTTTTATTTTCTTATAGCTTATTTCAGCTTGCAAAACTGAAGACAAATTCCTGGCTAACAATGCCTGATAGTAAGTATTACAACCTTTAGTTATCTTGAAAAAACATTTAAGGATATCATGTTGTGTATTAAATATTGCTTAATTGGTGTAGGGGGAACCCAAGTGAAATAAGGGAACTAATAATGCAGGTATTATCTTTTTAGTTTAAAATGGAATTTGATTTGCTCAAGACCATGTGATTGGCCATACACTGATGTACCAATACATATCTGTTATTGAGAACATCTTAAAAATGAAATCTCATATATAAAGTTGACGACTTCTTGTTAATTGCTCAGTGATCATAAAATCTTCAGAGTTGTAAAATTGTTCATCATAAAATTATGGTGAATTTAGTATGTTGACTTAAAGTATGTTATTTTAGAAAGCATGTGGTGGGGCAAAACAAAATTACAAAAGAAGCCTGTGGTACTCCAGTGCAATCCTACCCACATAATATTTTAAAATAGTAAGTAATACTGTATAGTAAATAGAACTAATACTTAACGTATACAAATACAGCTAACACTTTGACAGAAGCATCTTTAAGACTCAAAAAGATCATGTATCTTGAGGAAGTAAAACCTCATGTGTATATAAAAGCTTCAGGCTGGGGAAGAAAATGAACCCACCGCACAATTAATACCAACTAAAGTAAGTAACTTATCTCCCCCTGCCCCTCCTCCTCCCACCCCCCACCAAAAAGTAGTTTTTATAATAAGTGAATTTCTCTTTCATAATGACTAGGTGAGAGTCTTCAACAACAAAAATCAGGATAGTTGGAAATATTGAGATACTGTTTTGAATATGGATTTTACAAATGTCTGGATTGATCTAGAAACATTAACATATTTTGATTCAGGGATTTCTGAGATGACAAGTGACCTAAAACACAAATTATCTGCTATGTTAGCTGCTAAATCTGTTTGGGTATTTTGCTCTTTAGTTACTACTTGCTACTTACTGTAAAATATTTTTGAGGTATTTTGTTGTATTACAGTGTCACATCTCTTTTTTTTTTTTTTTATTTGCTGTTCTATAGCTGAAGCTGCATTTGGATGTTTGGTGCTGTTTGGGCCCTCAAGATTATGAAATACCTTTCTATAAATATTTTGCATTTTTTTCGCATCATGAATTCAGAAATGGAACAATCTGCTTCATTTAAGTATAGGGAGAGCTCTTGTAAAGAGAACATGTTATGTATAATGCAGAGCAGGTGATGTATGTCAACAATGTTAATAGCTTGCATGTTGCCAAAATGGATAATAAATTATAGTTGAATTCACTTTTGAGGTTGCTGGCATAGGGTGTTCTTATTTCTTTTTTATAGAGAATGCTTCAGTGAAGATGTCAAGAGAAACAGCCTACTAGAAGAAATGTAAATTTAATTTTTTCTTTCTTTATCAGAAATATTTTCCCTAGGTCTGGCAAACTGAGTGGTGGTCATGACATAATAGAAATGCTACTCCTTTTTTGACACTTGTATTATTGAATCAGAATACAAGGGTTGAGAGAGAGTATGTGATTTGGGTTTTAGGAGAGAATGGGATGTGGTAGAGAGAAATTGGGAGTAGAGGAGGGTTTTATTTTATATTGAAGGGGAGTTAGCAATTCAGTTACTAAATTTTATTCTATATTAGGTTTGAATTCAGTGTGAACATTTGTACTGAATTCCTAAAAGTATATTTAAGAAAGTAGAATTGTTCTGCTAAATGGCTGTGTGGTCTGTAATGAACTGTTGAGATTAATAGCACAAATTCTCTTGATGGTCCTTTATGACTAAAACTGGAATGCATATGCTTGTCTGCGATTAGGTACCTCTTCAGCATAACTTTCTTTTTTAGTAGTACATAGACAATAGAAACAAGACTTGGCCATTAAGATCCAAAAATGGGAACGAAGCTTGTAGCTTCTTTAAGCAGTGCAAAAGAATGGTGATTCATGGGGAAGACAAGTGAGGAAGAAGACCTGGATAGTGAATGTGTCAAGGTTGCTGATGTTGAATTTCAGCCTGCTCGCTTTGAATAATAAATCAATAGATTAGACATATAGAGAATTGATCACACACGAGGTATATGGGTGCTTAATCAAGAGCAAAGGTTTTTAAACTTCTAGGGCAGTACTTCTGTAAAAACGGTGAAACATCTTTCTGTCTTTTAAGCAGTGATGCTTGATGCTATATTTATAGCCCCTCAGATCTTTTTATAATTGTCAGGGATTTTTTTGACCAACTAAACTTACCCCTTCTACCCCCGCACCCGTCCCCGGTGGGAAAAAATCCTCGTCGGACCAGCCATATATGTTTCATATCTGTCTTTATCAAACGGTTGTTTGGTGTAAATTAAGAGATTCTGACTTTTGGATGGCTTTAGAGTTGCAGGGGTAGCTCTTGCGCAGAACCAGAACCAGTCGGCAAAGAAATCTGGAGATAGGAGCAATGGGATATTCAGTACTAATGTACAGGAAATAAATAGCAAAAACTAACATTTGTACAATATGTAACCAAGTGGTGCGGGAGAGACTGCAACCTGACAGCTACACCTGTAATATTAGTACCTTTGAACAAGGAGCCAAGGTAAATATACTGTCTTAATTTTTTTTCATGTAATAAATTATTTCTAATTGGAAAGGAGTGGGATCAGATTGTAAAGAATATAGGATATTAGGTGTGAACAGATGAGTTTGAAGATGGGTTTTTGCAAGCCTTTGAACAAGCTTGCTAAAGGTTGTTGTACTCATCTTTCCCTACCTCTGACATAAGTGATTTTTTTTTTAAGGAGACACTGGTGTTATCCTGACACCACCATTTCACACTCTCCCACCCTTTAAGTTGTGTACTGGGGATGTGTCTTGATTCATCTTACTTTACATTTTGCATACTATATTATCGTTCTTATGTGCTTGTAGTATTCTTTACCAGCTTATTGGGAGACATAACTCAAGCTTTTTACTTTCTAAAGCTGTGTCCTCCCTGCATTACTAGCTTGAGATTCAGCAGCATCCAGTCTCCAACCCATCCTTCCCGATGGGCTACCTTAGCTTAAAGTTCCAGTTATCTCAAGCTAGAAACTTCTGGGTGCAGTGCACTCAATATACTGTGAGATTAATGCCGTGGAAAAAAACCCCTCTGAGTCTGAAAATAAAACCACTGTAACTTAGCTTCTTTGTAGGTGTCACACAGGATTCCTACTAACCAACTCTCAGTATTTCTAGTTGTGTTATGAAGTAGTATGTTGCTAACTGTGAT